CCTGACCTCGTGATCCACCCACCTCAGCCTCCCAAAGTGCTGAGATTACAGGTGTGAGCCACCGTGCCCAGCCATGAAATACATTTCTTAAATAATAAGAATTGAGAGTAAAAAAATTAGCCCTTAATAATTTTGGCTGCAGAGTAGATATTATGTTAGCAGGCATTAAAAACATTAATCTCCTTGTACATCTCCATCAGAACTCTTGGGTGACTCCGTACATTATTAATGAGTGATAATATTTTGAAAGGAATCTTTTTTTCTGCACAGTAGCTATCTCAACAATGGACTTAAAATATTCCATAAACCATGCAGTAAACAGATGTGCTGTCCTCTAGGCTTTGTTGTTCCATTTCTAGAGCAGGGGCAGAGTAGATTTAGCTTACATCTTAAGGGTCCTAGGATTTGGGAAATGGCAAATGAGCAATGGCTTCAACTTAAAATCACCGGCTGCATTCGCCCCTAATAAAAAAGTCAGCCTATGCTTTGAAGCCAAGCATTGACTTCTCCTCTTTGGCTATGCAAGTCCTAGATGGTATCTTCTTCTAATAGGAGGCCATTTCATATATATTGAAAATTTGTTGTTTCGTGTAGCTACCTTCATACATTCTCTTGACCAGATCTTCTGGATAACTTGCTGCAGCTTCTACATCAGCACTTGCTGCTTCATCTTGCACTTTTCTGTTATGGAGACAGTTTCTTCTCTTAAACCTCATAAACCAACCTCTGCTAGCATCAAACTTTTCTTCTGCAACTTCCTCACTTCTCTTAGCCTTCATAGAATTGGTGAGATAATTGTGGATTAGGTTGTGGCTTAAGAGAATGTTGTGGCTGATTTGCCTTCTATCCAGACCCCTCAAACTTTATCCATACCAGCAATATGGCTGTCTCCTCTGTTATCATTGAGATGTTCACTGGAGTAACACTTTTACTTTATTTTTTTTTGAGTTGAGGGAAGGCTTTTTATTATTATTATTATTATTATTATTATTATTACTATACTTTAAGTTCTAGGGTACATATGCATAACGTGCGGGTTTGTTATATATGTATACTTGTGCCATGTTGGTGTGCTGCACCCATTAACTTGTCAGCACCCATCAACTCGTCATTTACATCAGTATAACTCCCAGTGCAATCCCTCCTCACCCCCACCCCCCCATGATAGGCCCCGGTGTGTGATGTTCCCCTTCCTGAGTCCAAGTGATCTCATTGTTCAGTTCCCACCTATGGTTTACTTATAAAATAAGTGGCATTTGTTGAAAAATCTGTTCTTTAACTTGAAACATTGCTTTTTTAAATCTCATTCACCACTCTCCTCACTATGTGGAAAGTATTTTCTTTTTTTTAACTTTTAAAGTTCAGGGGTACATGTGCAGGTTCGTTAGATAAGTAAGTATGTGGCACAGGGGTTCATTGTATAGATTATTTTATCACCCAAGTATTAAGCCTACTACTTATTACTTATTTTTTCTGGTTCTCTTCCTTCACCCTTCAACACCCTGTACCCTTCAACAGACCCAAGTGTGTTGTTCCCCTGCATGTGTCCATATGTTCTTATCATTTAGCACCCATTTAGAAGTGAGGATATGTGGTATTTGGTTTTCTCTTCCTGCATTAGTTTGCTAAGGATAATGGCCTCCAGCTCCATCTATGTTCCCACAAAGACAAGGTATCATTCTTTTTCATAGCTGCATAGTATTCCACAGTGTATATGTACCACATTTTCTTTATTTAGTCTATCATCGATGGGCATTTAGGTAAGATTCCATGTCTTTGACATTGTCCATAGTGCTGCAACGAACATACGCATGCATGCATGTGTCTTTATAATAGAAAGATTTATATTCCTTTGGGTTTATATCCAGTAATGTGATTGCTGGGTTAAATGGTATTTCTGTCTTTAGGCCTTTTAGGAATTGCCACACTGTCTTCCACAATGGTTGAACTAATTTACCCTCCCATAAACATAAGCGTTCCTTTTCTTTCACAAACTCTCCAGCACCTTTTTTTTTTTTTTTTTTTTGACTTTTTAGTAATAGCCTTTCTGACTGATGTGAGAAGCTGGTAAGTGTTAAAAACACTTTAGGGATGCTTGAGTTGCTTAAATGTATTTAGTCAGAATCATGACACATTGTGTTTTTAGGGAAATACAATTAACTTCAAAATTAAAGCATTTAATTGATGAGTTTATCCTCAATTAGAAAATACTTTATTTCTAATAAAGTATTAGAAAATACCTTATTTCTAATAAAGTATTAAAAATACCTTATCTTATTTCTAATAAAGTATTAGAAAACATTTCTTTTCTAATAAAGTATTAGAAAACATTTTATTTCTCATAAAGTATTAGAAAATACTTTATTTTCCAATTGAAGATAAACTCAACTCATCAACTAAATTAAATACTTTAATTTGAGGAGTTAATAATATGTGCCTAAAACTACAATGTGTCATGTTTCTGACTAAATATATTTAAGCAACTCAAGAGTCCCAAAGGTGTTTTTGACACCAGCTTCTGGTCATGATGCCACTCTGTCCTCGGCAGGGAGCAGGAGTGACTCAGGACATCGGGAACAAGGTCGGTTGTACAATGACACGTACACAGTGAAGCTGGTAGTCTCACAGCCTTCAGAGAAGCCTTGGATGATGTGGGGATTTGATAGTGCTCCCATGTGACCACCCAGGCAGGGGTCCAAGTGTGCATGGCAGGTGAAACAGATTTTTAAAATAAGGTGCCAAGACCGAGTTGTAATCAAAAACCAAGGCAGGCCTTGCACAGCCTCCATGTCTTTTTGTAAGTGGCATTTTCTCCCGTGGGTTGTCCTGAGCCTCCAGTCTCCCTGAAGTATATTGTTAAACCATTTAACAATACGTTGTAGCTGCATATTCTTCTGTAGCTCTTACTGTAGCTACCATTGTAAAATTACCTGTGTAACTGTGGACTCTCCTCCCAGTGTGCGGCGGGCTTCTTGAGAACAAGACTGGTGTGTGTCATCCAGCTTGTGTTTCCTGCCCCAAGCAAAATGCTCAGCCCATAACTGACTAGCAGAAATGTAAGCTGAAAGAATGAATGAATGAATGAATAAATAACTAAACGAGTGGCTGGATGTTAAGCTTCAATGTAGGCAATTTGATTACCTCTAAGGAAAGCTTTTGTTTGGTGAGAAATGAAAGCACTCTTGAACATGTCTTCCCCCTAGTGCAGACCCTGCTTTGCTGCCTGTTGGCTGGGGCCCTGATAGAGTCCTTTGATGTCAGATGGATCTAATGCCAATGCCTTGGCCTGGGGGGACATCTTAGAAAACACAGGACTGAGCCTTCATCATTGCTCCTTAGGGGGAAATCCCAGGTATGCTGGGAGGGGCGGGGAGTGTTGCTATATGGTTAACCTGCTAGTCTTTATCTTCATCTTCTCAATCTCACTATATATGTGTATACTTAAAAGCTCTGTTGAAATAGGTAGCAGCCCTTTCTCTCTACTGACTTTCTATCTGGTAAGTAGTCACATTCTGTAAGTATGTGCAAAAAAGTCTGAACACGGCATACCCCTGGTTCAGGAATACACAAAAAAAGGGCCCACACCGTCTTTCTGGAGAAAGGACAGCTATCAATCAGTCATTCAACTGAAGCACGTGTACCTGCACCTCCAACTGTGGCGGGACTCTCTTTGCAACAGCTCAGCAAAGTGCAATGGAGCCATCAGGTGCCAAGTTTCCACAATACCAAATTTAAGCCACATAATTTCTTTATGTTCATTTACACAAGAATGAGGGTAGAGACTTTAATAATGTGGCATTTAAGCAAAATTGTCGATTTAAAGTTATCTGAGAAAAAAATATTCCATATACAAAGAAATGTAAACACCAAGGCAGCCGGAACGATGGGCACTTTAAAGAAACAGCAAGGAGGCCAGGGTGGCAGCAGATAAAATCAGAATTTATAACTTGTGGCACACATTTTATTGTTGTTTTCTCTCTCTAAACCTTGATTAGCTTCAAGACTTCAAAGACATGCAGAGCTTCTCAGAGGAGATTAATGGTTCCATGGGAATGCCTGGCAGTTGTGAGAGTGCCTTGCTGGGCTAGTGAAGCTTGAAGGGGAAAGGATGTGGTGAGCAGAGACAAGTAACTAAATATTGAATGTGGAAAGAGTTTATGGTCCCCTCAAACTAGTTCAGTTCCCCTAAACCCTGACAGATGTGAGCTACAGGGGCAGACAGAGCTGGAGTGCCTCACCGAGACACAAATGCAAGAGGAACAAATTTTTATTTTAATAGATATTGATTCACATTGAAAATTTTCCTAGCCCAAGACTTGTTATGAAGTTGCTCAGACTCTTAAATCACAGTTTGCATAAGACTGAGAGCAACAAAAGTTCAAGACATCCTGAGAGGAGGAGGGGATTTCTAATAAGCCTATGAAGAAACTTTCATAAGGGTACAGCATCCATCATGTTGTCACCAATTTTATGGTCAAAACAGAGTTTGAAATGATCTTCAATAAAATTTGAAATCTAAAATGTGGTTCTCAAAATACATTTCAATACATCAACATTCTTCAGGATTTCATCAGCAGTTATTACAACTCTGTCTGCAACAGGGAAATCTGTTTAGGAATATGTCACCATGGTGAATTCTTAGATGTTCTGAAGATGATGTGCGGCAGAAACCTCAGAAACCTAGCTGAGTGAAAGATTCTAGATATGGTTTTATGTCAGAAGAGTTATTTGTAAAGTGAGGTAAACAATTATATAAGTTACTTATGTAATTATGTAAATTATTACATAAATCATATTTAATGGCAATGTGAGAGATACGTAGTGTGAGAGGTCACCAGACACTGTGAAAGTGGAATCATGTTGATGAGAAAAAGCACAACAGGATTTTCTCGTGAAAACTCAGAAAAAACATAAGTATAAGCCCATTCAATATTTAAAAAGCAGAAAAATAACCCACCAATTATAAAATAATTCTTAAAAAGGTGGTTGGACTGACATGAGAAATTTAATAATTGAGTTTAATCTTTGATGTTCAATAGTTCCAGGCTGATGGAGACTGTCAATAGGATGGCTTTTATATTGTAATGCTCAGCAGGTCTCAGCACATGCCTTTTTCCCAACACTGTGTCTATGTATTCATTACATTGGTTCTGGAATTCTTGAGACGTGGAATGTTGGATATCTCCTATCCATCTTGTGGCACAGATCCCTCTCCCTGAAATGCATTTTTGAATCAGGACACATATTCAAAGATTAGACACTCAAGGGTGATTCACAGATTACACACTTAAGGGGCTTAATCAGAAACCACCAAAGATGAGAGGTATGCTATGAATTGGGGCACTACTTTGGGCCAACAGGTAGAGCAACGCTCTGCTGTGACCTGCTGTAGTGGTGGATGTAGATCATGCCTGTTGTCAAGTAGTACTTTTATTAAATCACAGAATCAGTGTCTAGAAGCATCCTACAAGTGACAGTCAATGAGACAAAATTTTCTTTGGACAGCAGGCCATCTTCCTTTGGACAGCATCTTTGGACAGCAGTCCAATATACTGAACTTACATATAAACAAAATGGAACACCCACTGGTCAATGAACAATATATCCATGTTGAGGTGATTCACAGCTCAAGAAAAAGGGTCAGGAGGTAGTGAATCTCACTTCGGGCACATTTGTTAATAGACTTCACCTCAGCACCATGAGGACAGACATGTAAGAAGACCAGGAAAATCCTGGTACATTTCACACTGAAAATGTTCTAGTGAGGATGCATTATTGGCTTAAGAACAACAGGAAGATATAAGGTGAAAAAATGTCCAAGAACAGTTACAGAAGGCTGCTTAGGCAGGAAAGCTATTAACTGATACCTGTAAAGGGCTCCATCATAGGACAGAGACCAGGCTTTTGATGTCCCAGCAATGGACTGCACTGGCCTGATTCATAAAGTATGTCTGTCAATGCCTTCCAAAATCCCATATATTTGTTAATAGCTGCATCAAGATATAATTCACATGCTGTATAAATCACTTATTAAAGTGTAACATTCAGTGTTTTTCAGGATATTTACAATTGTGCAAACATCGCCATGATCTGACTTCTTTCACTTATACTATGTTTTCAAGGTTCATCCATACTGCAGTGTGTTTCCAGACTTCATTCTTTTTCTAAATGATATTCCATTGTATGTGTATAGCACATTTTGTACAATCACTAACGATGGACACCGAGTTGTTTCTACCTTTTGGATACTATAAATAATACCATTATGAACATTCGAGTACAAGTTTTTTGTAAACACGTTTTCGTATTGTGGGGTAAATACCTAGAAGTCAAATTCCTAGATTACGTACTAACTCTATGGTAAATATTCTGAAGAACATCCATCCTGTTTTATTATGTGACCTCATCATTTTGTAACCCCACAAGGAAATTTTGAAGGTTAAAATTTCTTCATATTGGCCGGGCGCGGTGGCTCAAGCCTGTAATCCCAGCACTTTGGGAGGCCGAGACGGGCGGATCACGAGTTCAAGAGATCGAGACCATCCTGGTTAACACGGTGAAACCCCCTCTCTACTAAAAAATACAAAAAACTAGCCGGGCGAGGTGGCGGTGCCTGTAGTCCCAGCTACTCGGGAGGCGGAGGCAGGAGAATGGCGTGAACCCGGGAGGCGGAGCTTGCAGTGAGCCGAGATCAGGCCACTGCACTCCAGCCTGGGCGACAGAGCGAGACTCCCACTCAAAAAAATAAAATAAAATTTCTTCATATCCTTACCAACATGTGTTCTTGTGTGTATTTTTTCTCTGTTGCCCGGGCTGGAGTGCAGTGGCGCGATCTCGGCTCACCGCAAGCTCCGCCTCCTGGGTTCCCGCCATTCTCCTGCCTCAGCCTCCCGAGTAGCTGGGACCACAGGTGCCGCCACCACGCCCGGCTAATTTGTTTTTTGTATTTTTAGTAGAGACGGGGTTTCACCGTGTTAGCCAGGATGGTCTCGATCTCCTGACCTCGTGATTCGCCCACCTTGGCCTCCCAAAGTGCTGGGATTACAGGTGTGAGCCACCGCGCCCGGCCTATTGTCTATATTTTTTGTTATATACATCGTACTAAGGATTTCACGATCCAATGAAATTGTATTTTGCTGTGATTTTTATTTGTATTTCCCTAATAACTAATAACATTGATCATGTTTGTGCTTATTGACTATATATTTTGTGTGAACAAATGCCTATTGATATCATTGCCCATTTTTAAATTGTGTTACATTTGGTTGTAGTTGTGTGTTAAGATACCTTTATACATTCTTTATATAAGTCCTCTTTCAGAAATATGAACATGTTTTCTCACATTTTGTGAGTTGTCTTCTCAGTTTGATGATGTCATTTGCAGCAGAAAAGTTTTTGTTTTGATACAGTCAAATGTTTAAGGATTGTTTGTTCATTTATCACTTATGCTTTGGTGAGATAACTAAGAAATCTTTTTTTTTTTTTTTTTTTTTTTGAGTCAGAGTCTCGCTCTGTCGCCCAGGCTGGAGTGCAGTGGCGTGATCTTGGCTCACTGCAAGCTCCGCCTCCTGGGTTCACGCCATTCTCCTGCCTCAGCCTCCCCAGTAGCTGGGACTACAGGTGCCTGCCACCATGCCCAGCTAATTTTTTTTTTTTTTTTTTTTGTATTTTTAGTAGAGATGGGGTTTCACCATGTTAGCCAGGATGGTCTTGATCTCCTGACCTCGTGATCTACCTGCCTCAGCCTCCCAAAGTGCTGGGATTACAGGCGTGAGCCACCGTGCCTGGCCAAGAAATCATTTCTTAACCCTAAGTCATGAATATTTCCTATTGTTTTTGTTTCAAATATTTTATATTTTTAGCTTTTATATTTAGGTCTGTGGCCTAGTTTCAGTTAAGTTTTGTGTATGTTGTGAGATAGAGGTCAAACTCATTCTTTTGCAAGGGGTATTCAGTTGTTCCAGCATTATTTGTTAAAAAGATTATTATTTCCCCTATTTCATTTTCAGTGTGCATCTGGCACTTTTTTTGTTAAATTTATTCATACATATTTTATTCTTTTTGATACTATTACAGATGGAATTCTTTCCTTACTTCCATTGTTGGCTTGTTTATTGCCAGTGTATAAAATACAAAGTTTTAAAAATATTAACCATACATCTATTAAAATCTTACTTATTTATTAGGTGTAGAAATTACACTTGATACTTTAAGATTTTCTGTATACAAGATCATGTCATCTCCAAACTGAGACAGCTTTGCTTCTTCCTTTTCAATTTAAATGCCTATTATTTATTTTTATCCCAATTGCCCTACTTGGAACCCCTAGTACAATATTGAATAGGAGTTACACAATGGTCGTTCCTGTTTTGTTCTAGATTTCTGGGAGTTATCAAAATCCCAGTGATGTTTGTTACAAAAATACCCATCATAAAATATCTATGCGTTCTCAAAGGACCCTGAATAGTCAAAACATAGTGAAAAAAAAAAAAAGCTGGAGAATTCAAACTTCTTGATTTCAAAACTTATTTTAAAATCACAGTAATCAAAATAGTGTGATAATGGCATAAAGATAGACATATATACTGATGGAATAAAATAGAGAATCTAGAAATAAATTCTTGCATATATTATAAAATATTTTTGACAAGTCTGGCAAGACCATTAAATGAGAAAAGAAAAATTTCCAATAAATGATGCTGGAAAAACCATATATCCAGATGCAAAAGAATGAAATTGGACCCTTACATAACACCATATCCAATTAACTCAAAATAGATGAAACACATAAATATAAGACTTAAAAGTATAAAACTCTTTGAGGAAAACGTAGGGCAAAAACTTCATGACACTAGATTTGGCAATGATTTCTTTGATATTACACCAAAGACACAGGCTACAAAAGAAAAAACAGACAAATTAGATCTCAAGAACTTTTAAATTGAACATCAGAAAACAATGTAAACAAAATAAAAAGGCAGCACTGAAATAGAATTTGTAAATCGTATGCCTGATAATAGAGTAACATCCAGAATATATATAAAACTAAAACTCAACAACAAAAGGAAAAAATATTCCATTAAAAAATGGGCAAAACACTTGAATAGTCATTTCTCCATTTCTCCACGGAAGATATACACATGGCCATTAAGCACATCAAAAGACATTTAACACCACTAATCATTATGGAAATGCAAATAAAAACTATGATATCACCTCACACTTATTAGGATGCTACTAAACACACACACATTCACACACACACAAATAATAAGTGTTGGTGAGGTGGTGAGGATGTGGAGAAATTGGAATCCTTGTTCACTCTCATTGGGAATGTAAAATGGTACAGCCACTGTGGAAAACAGTATGGTGGTTCCTCAAAACACTAGAAGTATTAATTACCATATGATGCAGCAATTCTGGTTCTGGATATATGCCAAATAGAGTTGAAAGCATGGTCTTAAAGAAATACTTGTACATTCATGTTCATAACAGTATTATCCACAATAATTCAAATCTGGAAGTAATGCAAGTGACCACAGATGATGAATATATTAGTTAAAGGTGGTACATATATACAATGGAATATTGTTCAGCCTTAAAAAGGAAGAAAATTCTACAGTATGCTACACATGGAATCTTAAGGATATTTTGCTAAGTGGAGTAAACCAATCACGAAAAGACAAGTACTATATGATTTCACTTCTATGAGATACCTAAAGTAGTCAAAATCATAGAGACAAAATGTATAATGGTAATTGCTAAGGGCTAAAGAGAGGGGATCTATTGTTTCGTGAATATAGAGCTTTGGTTTTACAAAACAAAAAGACATATGGAAATGGATGGCATTGATGGTTACACAACATTGTGAATGTATTTAAAATAACGTTTAAAATAGTCAAGATGTCAAATGTTGTGTTATGTGTATTTTGCCAACATAAAAACCTGGAAAAAAGAGTATTTTAGGGAGAAAAAAATCAGTCTTTCAACATTATATATTCTGATAGCTATGGAAAATTTGTAGATGCCTTTTATCAAGTTGAGTTTCTATTTTTATATTTCTTATTGCTTTTACTCTAAAAGAATATTGGATTCTGTCAAATGTTTTTCTGCATTTTTAAGGTAATCTTGTGTTTTGTTTTTTTTTTTTACCTTTATTCTAATAATATAGTTTATTGCATAGGTTGATTTTGTGTGCATGATAAACCACCTTTG